GCTCTTGCTCAGGCTGGTTTCGAACTCCTGAGCTCAAGCAATCCGCCCGCCTCGGCCTCCCAGAGAGCTAGGATTACAGGCGTGAGACACCGCGCCCGGCCAAAATTCAGCACCTTTTAATGATAAGAACACTCAACAAAATAGGCATAGATGGGACTTGCCTCAAAATATATATATAAAAGCCATATACAACAAACCCACAGCCAACATCATACTGAATGGGACAAAACTGAAAGCATTCCTGCTTAGAACTGGAACCAGACAAGGTTGCCCTTTATCACCACTTCTTTTCAACATAGTGCTGGAAGTCCTAGCCGGAGCAATCAGACAAGAGAAGGAAATCAAGGACATCCAGGTGGATGCCTTTTTCAGCCTCCACCCATCTGCATCCAAATGCTCAAAATAAACAGCATTTTGCTACCAAAAATAGAAATCAAGGACATCCAAATGGGGGCAGAAGAGGTCAAACTATTGCTCTTTGCTGATGATATGATCTTACATCTAGAAAATCCCAAAGATTCTGCCATGAGACCACTGGAATTGATAAACAAATTCAGCAAAGTCTCAGGTTACAAAACTAATGTACACAAATCAGTTGCATTCATACATGCCAACTACAGTCAAACTGAGAACCAAATCAAAGACTCAATACCTTTCACAATAGCAACAAAGAAAATAAAATACCTATGAATATATTCACCTAAGGAGGTGAAAGACTTCTATAGGGAGAACTATGAAACGCTGAGGAAAGAAATAGCAGAGGATATAAACACATGAAAACCCATACCATGCTCAATGGATAGGCAGAATCAACACTGTTAAAATGTCTATACTACCCGAGGTGATCTACAGATTCAATGCAATCCCTAGCAAAATACCAACATTATTTTTCACAGATTTTGTATTATCCTGGATGGAGCTGGAGCCCATTCTAGTAAGTGAAGTATCACAAGAATGGAAAAATAAGCACCACATGTACTCACCATCAAATTGGTACTAATTGATCAATACTTATGTGCACATACGGCAGCAATATTCATCAGGTGTCAGGCAGGTGGGAGAGGGAAGGAGGGGATGGGTATATTCACACCAAACGGGTATGGCGCCCACACTGAGGGATGGGCACACTTGTAGCTCTCACTCGGGTGGGGCAAAGGCAATATATGTAACCTAAACATTTGTACCCCTGTAATATTCTGAAATAAAAAAATTAAAAAAAAAAAAAAAAAGAGACCAGGGGACACAGCCAGCCCTGGGGAGGGGGGCGGTTTTAAGAGGACACAGCCAGCCCTGGGGGGGTTTGAGGGGACACAGCCCTACGTTGGGTGGGGGAGTCTCTATTCTGCCTTGGTGGACATCTGCAGGGGTCATGGCTATGCCCTGATAAACCCTCCAAAAAAATTCCAGGCCAGGCACAGTGGTTCACACCTGTAATCCTGGCATTTTGGGAGGCCAAGGTAGGAGGATCTCTTGAGACCAGGAGTGTGAGACCAGCCTGAGCAAGAGAAAGACCCCTCTCTACAAAAAACAGAAAAATCAGCCAAGTGTGGTGGCACGCTCCTGTCCTCCCAGCTACTCAGGAGGCTAAGACAGGAGGATCGCTGGACCCCAGGAGTTTGAGGTTGCAATGAGCTATGATGATGTCACTGCACTCCAGCCTGGGCAACAAAGCAAGACCTTGTCTCAGGAGGGAAAAAAAATCAATCAAAATGATTTAGTTTCTTTTTGAAGCAGTTAACAATTCAGGATAAGGAAATATTTTTAAAAAGACATTAAAAGTTCTATACATGAGTAAGTTTATAGTAGTAATTTCATGACGTTAAGAATGCAGAATATTAAATGGCACATATACACCTGTTGTAACCATTTAAAGAAGTGCGTGTGTCTGCTTTAGAGTTAAGATGGTGATATTAGAGCTTTTCATTATTTAATAAAGTTTCCTTTAATATTCTTTGAATAGCCACTAAGGGCCAACCACATGCCCCAGTTGAGACATCAGTAGTCACGGTGATATGTCAGGGACATGGGACAAAACAGCCCCAGAGAGAAGTAAGGATAGTGCCTCCCCAGGGCAGAGAACAAGAGAGAAAGTGCCAAGAGGCGGGGCTGTGGGCCCGCCCGGCCATCCTCTCTGCCCCACCGAGCACGCCCACCTCCTGGCAACTCACTAAGGTCATGTCGTCGCAGCAGGCGGCACAGGTGCAGGAGGCGGCGTGAGGGTTTAAAATCCCGTCCTGAAATGAAAGAAGCACCACGATACATTAGAGATCAGCCCTTCAAAAGTGAATTATTTAATACTAAAAGATTTCAACTAGTTTTACCACTTCTCTGCCATTCATACAGATAAAAATTCTGAGAAATCAAATACAATAATTTCCAGAGCCTTCTCTTGTTCACAGTGCCATTACTGGTGGTAGGACCTACCTATTTCCTTCCAAAAAGTGAAAGACTCTGTAGGAATTATTTCCATGACACCCAAGGAGCTAACTGCAATGAGGACCAGAAGTCCTCTCTGCGTACGAGGAAACTGGAGCAGAGAGGAGTCAGGGGCCTACTAAGGTCTCATGTGTCCAAAGCGAGCTGCTATTATCTCGACTCCTGTGATTTCATTTTTTTTTTTTTGGCCTTTCCCTTTTTTTTTTTTTTTTCACGCCAGGCACTGTGAGCTCACACACCCCTCACAACAATCCTGTGGGGTCGATGTTGTCACCACCCCTGTGGGAGACCAGGAACCTAGAGGACAGACAGGGTGAGTGGCCCGAGTCATCCACCCCGCCTGACCCAGTCTGTGCCCGTCCTCGCATCCTTCGGACATTGGCTCGTACGGACACCTGCAAGCTGAGCATCAAGGCCCAGAACACTGCGCGTGGAGCCTGGGGCAGGTACCTGGATGAGGCACTGCAGCGGCCTGCCTGCGTAGCGGATGCTTCTCTTCCAGTCCTTGCTGCTGGCCCTTCCTGCCATGGCCTCAAACTCGGTTGGGCTGTACCAGCTCTCCCCCTGCTTGATGCATCGGCCCCGGCCTCCTGAAACAAAGGTGGCCCGTCATGGGAAAGCACCGGCCCTGCCGTCACATCCAGCTCGCTGACACCAGGCCAGCCCTTCTCTGTCCTTCTTCTCCCCTTCCCGCCTCCTTTCTGGCTCCTGGCCGGGCCGGTGTGATCGTCCACCCCATGGCTGGCCTCTCCGCCTGCTGCCTGCGGTCGCCGCAAGCCCACTATGCTCCACACCGAGCATCTGCCTGCTCTTGAATCCTTTGTCAGGTCCCGAGCCGACCCAGCGACTTTGAGAACAGTTCCAGCCCTGCCTGTCTCCCACTTCTGTCCTGTGGGGCATGATGGGTTCTCAGTTTACCCCGAACACTCTCAGGCTGTCCGCCCTGTGCCTCTCCCTGCCTGGGCTCCAGTTCACAGGGACTGGGCATCACCTGCTGCTCTGTCTTCTTACCTGGTTTTATGTGCCATCACCATCATTTTCCTTTGCCCCAAACTTATCGTGTACGGGTTACAAAAAGGAATAAAATCTTTAAATCCCAAGCCACAGTGGCCTAAGTGCGGCTGGCACCGCCCTCACCTGAGCCGAGCCTGCTCTTGTACAGAGTGCCGCTGATGTTCCGGCACCGCACGGGCAGCTCGCTGTCGTACACGGAGGGGTCCCAGTTGTATTTGGTTCCACCTTTTTCTTGGCCGGGAGCTAGAGGAGTTGGAGGAGACTGAGGACCTTGGGCAAAGAAAGTATTTTGAAGGTAAGAGACACTGCAGGTCACCAGGAAGCACCGCACGCTCGGCTGTCCAACGGCGGGTCTCCGAGCTGCTCAGACGGCCCGGTATAGCAGCACTGTCTTCTCCCACTGCGGAATCATTCTTTCTCAGCCTGGATAAATCCACTTTTTCTCCTTAAATCTAGTCACATTTGATATTCTAAATTTACCGCAAAAATAAGCAAATAAATAATCTCCGGAATACATTCTAGATCCTCTAGAACATGTTTTGCTCTGAGGACTGGGGCAGAGGTGCCACCTTACCTGGGGTGAGGGGAGCCGCTGGGCCCTTCAGCCCAGTGGTCTCCACGATGCTCCCGTCTGTGTGCACGACAATCAGCGTGGCTTTCTCGGTGTTCAGGCTGTCCCCGATCTGAAGGGCTGTTCTACCAGACTGGAAGAGAGAGCACCCATTAAGTCACCTCCCAGCGCCACCTAGAGGCGCGTCACATAGCCCAGCTGATGTGGGCCCACAGCGAGGTCTGCCTATTCGTCACCAAGAGGGGATGTTCACCCAGGGATCCCGTATCTTCTCCAAAGATGTCTCTAAAAGACTTAAAAACAGAGCCAAGAACAAGAAAAGACAACGCCTAAGCCTGGGTGGTGCTGAGAAAAATGCTTCCAATCATTTGTCAGAGTTAAAGAAGAAACATGCTGTGCAAATACACTCTACGAGTGGGAAACACCCTCACTTCTACCTGAGCAGCGCCCACAAGGTCCCAGGTCTTAAGAAAGGTTCCAAGAAACCAAACTGATCCCCACAGACACAGCCTAGAGCAGGGGTCCCTCCAGACGCCCCAGACCAGGGCCTCCCCAGCCACACGTCCACATCGGCTGACGCTGCCATGACTGCCCAGACTTCCCGTATGCCAGCCCCAAACTTGCCCTTTAAGCTACACACCCCCTCCACAGCCTGCCAGAGTTCTTGTGCCCACCCAACCAAGTCACCCAACAAACCGTGGCATCAAGACTTTGTTCGGCCAGGCATAGGCAGACCAGAGACCTCCAGGGCACCTATCCAGAGCCGACATTCTGGGATGCTCTAATGTTTTCATCGTAAGAGTACAAAACCAATTGAGGCAAAGTGAGGAAGCAATCTTTTCTTACATCTGAAAATGTCACCATCAAATCAGGGCACTAGGGCAAGGCACAGTGGCTCATGTCTGTAATCCCAGCACTTTAGGAACTTCAGGAGGCCCAGGTGGGAGGATCACTTGAGGCCAGGAGTTTGAGGTTGCAGTGAGCTGTGATCACACCACCGCACTCCAGCCTGGGTGACACAGCGAGACCCTGTCTCTTAAAGAAAAACTAAAATCAGGGCACTTGAACAGACATTTACCATGGCGCCTGGGCTCACAGAGGCCTGAGGGCCAATGCCTCAAGAAAGGGTCCATACAGCTGTGTCTGAGTCACCAAACACCCGCAGCTTTCTACTGGAGAAAGGGGATATTTATGTTCGTTTAAGAATCAAAAAGTGCCCATATTCCCAACACCCAGCAACAACTGCTGTTAGCAACATCTTGATCTGTGCACCGGTCTAATAAAAAAAAATGAATCAAAAAGTGATCAGTTAGTTGTGAACACCACTGCACTCGCACCAGCCAGAATCACGAAGTGCTGTGCTTGTGAAGGGGAGCGGGAAGACACAGATGCCTGTGAGCCCCTCCACCTGCTGTCAGTTCTCGACAAGGGCACACCAGTCCTGGGTCTGCCAGGTCAGGAGGCCAGCCCTGCCCTCCCAGCCACTGTCAACCCCGCTCACAGGACGCCCAGCTCCCTGGCACCAGCAAGTCTTCGGCACCCACGGCGTGCCCTGGGCTTCAGCCCCTCCTAGAGAGCGAGGACAAGCCCAGACTCTGCGCCAGGAAGGAGCCTGAACGAAAGCACAAAGCCGTCACGCGGCTGTCGTCTGTGTGCCTTCCAACACCTGGTCCTGAATTAAGCAGATTTCCTCCCGTTGCCACCCAGCCCTTCGCTGCACCTGCTGCTGTAACTGAGTAAGTTTCTGCTTGTGCCATTCTAATGACAACTCTGCTTTCAGGTACACAGGCGTGGTGTCCCAGGCATGTGACCAAGGCTGAGAAGACTGCTGCCACTAACAGGCAGAAACGGTCTCAGGGAACCCCTTTCTGGACACCGCACCCCCCTCGCCTCCAGCATCTGCTACCTGGTAGGTAACAAGGCTGCCTGCCCTGGCTGAGTGACATCCCAGAATCACTGAATCCTCACATACAAAACATAAAATATAGAACAGGCTGAAACAACATATCATGGAAGGGTTCTGAATGTGGGCATGAATGGTTTTCAGCAACTTTTCTTTTTTGTTTGTTTTGTTTTGTTTTTGGGGGGCAGGGTCTCCCTCTGTCACCCAGGCTGGAGTGCGGTGCTATAATCATAGCTCACTGCAGCCTCCAACTCCTGGGCTCAAGCGATCCTCCTGCCTCAGTCTCCCAAACAGCTAGGACTACAGGTGCACCACCACGCCCTGATAATTTTCTTATTTTAATTTTTTGTAGAAACAGGGTCTTGCTACATTGTTCAGGCTGGTCTCAAACTCCTGACTTCAAGTGATCTTCCCATTTCTGCCTCCCAGAGCTCGCTGAGATCGCAGGTGTGAGCTACTGTGCCCGGCAGCAGTTTTCTTTAGGAGGACAGCCGTAAGGCGTGCAGAATGAACTCTCACGGGAGACCAGACTGTAAGTGCCACCATGCCACCAGAACAGAATTCGGTGAGGCAAATGCAGTGATTCTCTCAGATGTGCCTGGAGCCATGTGCGTAAGGAGAGCAGACATCTCCGGCTGCTGGCAGAAGCCTAACTCCGGGCCCAGAGCAGCCTGGACTGAACCAGAAGCTGGGGGTTCCAGGCCCAGACACGGGCTGCAAGGCCCTCTGGCACGGACATCTCCCCGTCCACACAGCTCGGAAGGCTCTTTCCAGTTCTTCCACGTTTTCTTCACTTCACAGAAGCCACGTTCAGCATGCACTTTCCTTGTCGAAGAAGTCAAGTGAGGAAAAGACGCCTCAGCTCAAATCAGAACTCCTCGCTCAGCTTTCCACGGCGGCTCTTCCTCAGCTCTGGTTTCTCATGCCCCAGCATAGCCCTGAGGCTCCTGCGCGCAGAAGGAGCCTCGTGCGCCTCTCGTGGCTTGCAGAACAGAGCAGGCGCTCTCACTGCGGACTGAGTCCTGGAGGAGTCTCAGCAAAGCCCAAGGCTCGAGCGTGGCGCCAGCTACACCCCTCGGAGCACTTACCAGAACGTGTCCTGAGATTGACGCTGCGTTTGCCACCGACGTCGTGAACACGTTGTCCGCAGAGGCCCCCACGTTGGCCACCGTCACTGTGGTCACCTCTGCAACAGAAGAAACCTAACTTAGCGAGCGATGAAAGCCAGAGCACAAACTGAGCAGACAACCTCGCTCGGGTGTCCGACACGAAGCAATTCCCGCTCAGCCTTTACGAAAACCACCAATCGACACTTTCAGTCCACAGTCTGTGTCGTCTGGTTCTTCCAGGAAAAAGAGAAGAAATCTGTTCTTCCCCAGTAAAGCCTCTATGCACAGTAAAAACTGCTCACAACAAAACTGCCCCCCACGAGCCAGAGCCAGCCACGGCTCTACCAAACTACCACCGGTCCTCAGGTCGGACGTGCCCTGCACCTACAGAGTTCCCGCCCTCAGCCTCCTCCCAGGAGGGGACACCTCCTGGACTCACTTGTGCAGCCCACACAGAGCAGGCTCAAATCCTGCCTCACCTCCTCCAGGGTCCCTCCACTGTGGGGTCTGGCCACCAGCGTTAGGCGACTATGGCCTCATGCTCACTGCTGCTGCCCATGGTCTGCAACCCCTTTCCCAGCTCCTCTTCCTCCTAAAAAGCACGTCCAACCTGCCTGTACCCTTGGGGGCTGCCCCGCCCCACCCCCTATGACACGCATAGGGCTGCAGACAAGCACCCCTCCCTCCAGCTCTGCAAAGCCTTTCCTTGATGCAAGTGGCCCCCTTCTGTCACCCAGCATTCCAGAATGTCCCATGCCCAAGGCGATCTCTGTTGCACAGCAGGTGCTCAACCGATATTGGCTGCCCGTACCATTTACCTGGCAATCACCAAACAATACCGAAACTACCAGTTCACTGGTTGTCTCCACTGCCAGACCACACCGGGAGCACAGCTAACTCATCCTTGCCTCTCAGCAGGACACCGCCAGCAGGCAGGCAGGCCAGCCGGCCACTCATGCCAAGGGCACGCGTCTGAACACAAGTCCAAAGACAGCTCAGGCAGACATCTGCCCACAGGTGGCCCCAGACAGGCAGCATGTCCTGCTGAGTTTCTTAAACCTGGAAATTACTTGACTTCAACAACTCATAATAAAAAAAAATACTGAAATGTTTTAACACATCAAGAGTATAAAATTTTGCAGAAAAAGCATATGTCAATATATTTCTCTTATGTCATGAGAAACAGCATCATATTTCTTTTCTGCATTCAGAAAATTATGTTCAAAAAGCACAAAAGCCTGAAGTAAAACCTTATTCCCCCAAATCACAATGTCAAACCAGAGTTAGCCAAGAAAGCCTTCCCTCGCTTTTGCGAGCAGCTCAACCGACCAGGGGCCCTGGGCCGGGGCGGAACCCGGGCTGCTGGACTCCCCACCCAGCCTAGGTGTGGCTGCACAAATACCCCGAGTGGACACACAACAGCTCCAACGAACTCGGCACACCAGGACCAGGGTCCAGTTCTGAAGCCTGCAAAGCTCCTCATGAGAAAAGTGCCTTAGGATGCAACGAGATGTGGAAACGATGCTCCTCCAAGAGTGTGAAGACTCGACTTCGAGTCCTCGAGGCACACTCAGGAGCTCCAGCCGGGAAGGCAGTCCAACAGGTGGGCAGTCTCTACTCCCACTGACCCGCGAGCTGGGACGCCGACGCCCGCAGGATGGCCCTCTGGGGAGGCGCCACCCTGCAGGGCATTTGCGGGCACCGCCCGAGGCTCCGTATGTTATGAAACCTGAGAATGAGGATGCTCTGTGTGGCAAGAACTATGAGCAGCGCAACGGTGGCTTCCCCTCTTCCCCTTGGAAGGGAGCGGGACAGGAGCAGCAGGAGGGAAGGGAAGGTCCTCAAAGGAAAAGGCAAGAGGAAGGGTGCGCTCGCGGCGGAGGGGAGGCCCCTGCGGGTGTCCCCTAGCCCCCGCCGCCGCCCTCCCAGGGCCGCTGCACAGCCAAGCCGACCTCTGGCCCGGCTGGGTGAGGACGCTCCTGCTCCCGGCACTCAGGCCATGCCCGACCCGGCCCTTAGCACTGGGGCCTTTCCTGGGGGCCGCACGTCCGCCCGCCCTCGGGCTCCTCCAGGACGGGGTCCGCGTCTGACCCTCCTACGCCATCAGCACCCAGGATGGACCAAGGGAGGACAGGCGGGGCAGGAGACAGGTGTTGAGAAGGTTAGAGGGGCGCCGAGTGAAGAGCAGCACGAGGCGCGGCTGGCCCAAGGAAAAGGCGTTCAGGAGCAGGTGTGGGCAGGGCAGAGCCAGCGCGGGCGGTCTCGAGGTGCGCGGGCCAGGCGGGGCGGGCCGGGCCTGCGGCGCAGGTGCGCGGGGACCGGAGAGGCGGAGGCCGGCGGCGCGCGGGCGCACTTGCCTGCGAAGGCGGCGGCGGCGGCGGCCTCGTCGGGGCCGGGCAGGGCCTCGGCGCCCATGTCCATGTGCCCGGGCTCGGCCGCCATCACCGCCACGGCCGTGACCCGCCGCGTCTCGCGCTCCGCCTCCGAGTCCGCGTCCTCCTCAGAGTCCTCGTCCCTGCTCAGAACCGGCTCCTCCGTCTCGCCTCCCGCCGCGGCCGCGGCCGCCGCCGCCACAGCGGCCGCGGCCGCCACCGCTGCTGCCTCAGCCAGGCCCAGCTGCTTTGCCGCCGAGTCCGAATCCTCCATCCGGACTCCGCCGAGCCAGCCCGAAGGCGCCGTCCGGGGCCGCCCGAAGCGCCGGGCGCCGAGCCCGAAGCGGGGCCCGAAGAGACCGCCCGAGCCGGGCCGAGGCCGCCCGAAGCCGCCGCCCGAGCAGAGGCCGAAGCGGCAGCCGGGCACTGAGCCGAGCCGAACCGAGGCCTCCCGCCGAGCGGAGCCGAGCCGAGCCGAGGCCGCCCGAGCAGGGCCGAACCTGCACAAAGCCGCAGAGCCGAGCCGAGCCGAGCCGGACCGACCCGGGCTGAACCGAGGCCAAGGGTTCGGAACCGAGGAGGGTCGAAGCTACCCGAAGTAAAGAGCCGAGTCAGTCCGAATGGGTCCGAGGCCGCACGAGGATTTCCGAGCAGCTCGACCCTGGCCCTCCTCACTGGCTAGGAAGATGAGCCAGCTGTCGTCCCCGGCCGACAGGGCTGACCGGCTCTGGACAGACTCTCGACACAGTTTGGCCCCGTAAAGAGGGCCTTGCGCCACAGGCTCCGTCCACCCACGCCGCCGGCGAGAGCCGAGTCGCCCCGAGGCCGAGCCGAGCTGAGCCGAACGTCCCCGAGCCCGAAAGCTCCCGAGCCTCGGTTCTCCGCCTCCTCCTGTCCGAAAGTGCCCGAGCGCCACCGGACTGACTAATCGCGCCTCGGCCGCGGCTCGGACGTCCGCTCCCGAAACGCGGCGCGGTCGGGCCTCTTCGCCAGAAGAGACGAAAATGGCCGAAGGGGCGCGAGTGGCGCGGGCGGAGAGGCTGCCGGGATCGCGGCGGACCAGGGGGCGGGGCTGGCAAGATGGCGGCCGCGAGGCGAGGTGAGCTCTGCGTGCTTGCAGGGGCCGGCCCCCCGGGGCGCGGCGTCTCCTCGCTGACGACCCTGCTTAGAATTCAGTGCGCTCCCAGGGCGTGCGGCCGTCACCCTCGAGGAGCCCCGGCCAGGTCCGCATTGGCCCTCCCGGCGGCGGGGCTGGCGGGGCGTGGGGCCTTCCCGGCGACGTGGCACCCCCGGGACAGCCGGCCACGGCAGCGGCTCTCTCGGCCTCGGGTTCTCCCGGAGCAGGCGGCGAGTGTTTTATTCACGCCGTGAGACGCGCGCTCGGCCTGGCGACGGCTGTCGCCCGCACAGCGAGTCGCGAAGCTCGCGAGTGGCCCGGCGGGGCCGGAGCCGTCGGCTGTCGGCGTCCTCCCGGTCCAGTGCAGAGTCCCTCTCCGTCCTCGCCGTCGGACGCGGGGCCCACTCGCCTCCACGGCACAGGAGGGCGCGAACGAAGGCGGGAGCTGTCGCCGGGGTCTGTCCGGGGGCTCTCGGCAGCGGCTTCCACGTGGCCAAGCCTGTGTCTGTGGAAGTCCCGGCAGTCGGGTTTGTTTGTGTATTGTCGTTTCGCGGGAATTTAGTTTATTCCAGGACAGGATCTCTTCGCACACCTCGCCTGTTACACTCGTGCTCTTTACTCACACGACCGACTTCTGCCCGACACGCCCGTCCTCAGCCACAGCGTGATTGCGGCAGGGCATCCAAACGAAAGTCCTAGAAGCCAGGTCGTGCCCCGTGAGAATGAGCTCCTCCAGGTCTGGGGGGTTAGAACAGCACATCCCACGATAACCGCCCTTCGCGTGATTTAAATGCTGTATCACTTAAGATTTTTTGTTTGTTTGTTTGTTTGTTTGAGACAAATTCTCACTGTGTTGCCCGGGCTAGAGTGCCGTGGCGTCAGCCTAGCTCACAGCAACCTCAAACTCCTGGGCTCAAGCGATCCTCCTGCCTCAGCCTCCCGAGTAGCTGGGACTACAGGCATGCACCACCATGCCCGGCTAATTTTTTCTATATATTTTTAGTTGGCCGATTAATTTCTTTCTAATTTTAGTAGAGACGGGGTCTCGCTCTTGCTCAGGCTGGTTTCGAACTCCTGAGCTCAAACAATCCGCCCGCCTCAGCCTCCCAGAGAGCTAGGATTACAGGCGTGAGCCACCGCGCCCGGCCCTCACTTAAGGTTTTTGAAGTTTTTTTCCCTAAGCCCCACAACTTCAGTGCGTAACAGTGGGCATGGAGGAGACACGTTTGAAATGTTTAGGAGCGACCTTTAGGAGAAGGATTGGAAGGGAGGACACCCCCTAACATGATATTGACTCTCTTAAGGACAGTCACCAAGGCCTGGAAGAGGACAGATCAGGTTTAGAGAGAGCCCTCCTGGCAACATGATGCGGCTTGGCTCACCCCTCCCGTGGCTTCCTGCTGCCAGCGTGTGCCGCCTCTTCTAGAAGCCCAGTTCCGAGTCTCTGTTGCAAATTGCCTGCATTAACCAGTTTAAAACTCTTGCCCACGTGAGATTCTACACACTCTGGCACAGAAGGCCCCAGATCTGCCCGAGAAGTCGTGGGATCACCCACAAAAACTCACCAAGCCAGAGAGTGTCTTTCCTGCCTTCCCTGAGACTGAAGAGGAAAAGGAACAGAGAGGCTGTGTTAGGTCACCGTGGGGCTTGCTGCCCAGCAACAGAGCTCAAAGTCCTTTTTATGGGAGGTTTTTGCCAAACTCTAAATTTGTATAGGTGTATTTATACATGTAGAGACGTGTACATGTCACAGATGTGCAACTATCATGAACCTTTTCAGACAAGGAGTCTGAGCCAGGCCCGTTCCATCCGAGGCGGGGTCAGTGGAATCTTCAAATACAAAACCTCAGAGGCAGAAGTGAGGAAGGAGGTTCTGCTCACTCCTCAGCTTCCTGTCGTGTCAGGATTGGGGAAAACTGATGCCTGCAGTGGGGGTGCGAGGAGGTCTTTCTAGAGGTCACATGACAAAGATAGATTGGATTGCTGGTTTAGAAAATTCTTATTTTTGCAGGGCTATTTGGGGCAATGAGTAAAATTCCAGAGGAAAGCAAATGTCTGTTTATCAATTATGAAAAAAGACTTGTTATAACCCAAACCAGAAAAGGTTTTTATCTAATTATGTATGTGTGGCAAATATTCAGAAACCACAGAAGATGAGGAAAGCTGCTGTTTGGGTAGATTTGGGATATTTCTTCTGAGGGAGGCGTGGGTCTCACCTGGCCTGTCGCTCTGGCCTTGGCGAGATGGAGGCTTCTCGTCACTGCACGCTGTGCCCACGGGTGCAGGTTCTGAGAGTCAGAGATTGTCATGTCCTCCCTGAAGGGCTGGACATAGGCCCACCACAAATGCTTCTTTATTGAAGATGAGATCAAAGGAGAATGAAATGGGATGGTTCCTGTTGATGTTGAGCAAGGCCCAGGAAGGTAACCTGTTGGGATTTGGGCCCCACTGACAACTCTTTCTTTTCCAGGGAGAGGCTCTGCCATGGTGGTATCCTGCTGCTACGTCCCCTCTCCAGGACAGCGCCCGTGTGGTGGGCTCTCCACGCACCCCCACCGTTTCCATAAGTTGCCTAGTAATCTGCCTTTAAGAGGGAGGGATTTAGGGTTGATACACCTTTTCTGAGTGGGGCATGCTGTCTCCATCACCACCTGCTCAGGCGCCTCCCAGGAGACTTACCAGACTGGCTAAGCTCGGCAGACTGCCCAGCACCCCAGGGGGACGGTCACCTGCCTCCACCCCAACCACCAGTGGCAGGAAGATGACAGCCCTTCACTTTGAATGACCACAGATTCATTTTCGCATAAACAAATACAAAGTATACGAAGCCTAGGAAATTGCTAGTGGATATTTAAGTGCCCCCAAATATATTTTCTCTGAAGAAAATGAAAAAAGTCCTTTTTTCTCTCTAACTCGTAATTGGGGCCAGCTGTCCTCCGGCCAGTCCTGCCTGCAGTCAGTGAGGACTGGGGCTGCAGTGCTCAGACCACTGTCAGGGATGGCAGGGGCAGGGGTCCCTCTGTGGGCCTGGCCAGCAGTGGGCCCAGAATGAAAGAGCCACGTAGGCAGGGAGCCAGTGGCCGGGTCTCCGTGGCCACCTGTGGGTGCCCATCTGCCAGAGCCCAAACCAGTCCTGCATGTTTGTGGCCATGGAACAGATGGCAGAACCGGCCTCTCTCGCTCAGCCACGTGGGAGGGTGTTCCCGGCCTGTTGGGCTTGAGAATCCTTAACCAGTGAGCAGCTCTCTTCAGTTCCCCTTCAAATGCTGTTTTATCTCAGTGGAATGTACTACGCCCTTTATTTCCTGGCCACTCTCCTGATGATTATGTATAAAAGTAAGTCATGAACTAAAGGCACATTGAAGGGGTCATCGTGGCTGCCTCGGGTGACCGTATTCTGGTGTGTCCCTTGCCTGTCAGGTCAGGTGTTCAGCTACCCTCCCGCCTACCTGGCTCTCGACCTGACCCTGCTGTTTCTGATGGGGATTCTGGAAGGAATTCGGTTACACTTGGGTGAGTTGACTGTGAAAACCACAAAGTACCCGTGATAACAGTTGTTCTCTTAAAGGTGCTGAACCTTTAAATAGTAATCATTCTATAACGTGGTTCTTGGAGATACTTTTATCCAAAATGCTTAACCAGTTGCTTTGCAGGCTCGCCTCACGGCACATTAAGTATTAATCCTTTATTCAGAAGCTCGTCCAAGTCACAGATGCCATTGGAGGCATCGCTGGGAGGGATGCTTGGCGTTTGGAAGTCTATCCCGTAGAAGCACCGGGTGACGGCACTGTGGTCAGAAACCCAGCCTGACCGTCACATCGGGAGCCCGGAATGTTCACCTGCACCCCTTCCTTTCCTGGTGGCCTCAGCCATCTGAGGAGAAAGAGAGCGGGTCTGTCAGGTCCCCTCCAGGGCAGCGAGCCTGGAGGGGGGGGCTGCCCAGCCTCCCCAGTCCTGCTCTGGGAGCGCAAGCCCGCAAGCACTTCACGTGCCCATCTCAGCCAGCTCCCCCTCCTTCGACAGCGCAGTCCGTTCGAGGGTGCGCTCTCGTGCAAGACGCGGGGTGCAGAAGTGAACCTTGGAAATTTCCCCCGCCCCAGAGCTCACCGCTAGGACCAGTGCGGCCCAGGCTTCCAGCGTGGCCTCTGCCCTGCTGGGCCCACGGTCACACGTACACAGCACATCTGTTTGTCCGGCAGGATCCTACTACACACATTGCCAGACAGCTGGCACTGCCAGGGCACTGCGCCTGCCAGGCTCTAAGGCCCCTGGTGCGCACACACTGCAAGGAAACTGAGGCACACGGGGAAGCTGGGCCCCTGCCCTCTCTCCTGTTACCAGACCTGGACCCCGCTGGGTGGGTGCACGCAGGTTTGCTCGGCCGTCCCTCCTGCAGAGGGGCGCTCAGGCCTTCAGTGTCGGGGCTGAGGTGCTAGAACCACAGCCCCCCAAGGGCTGGCTCTGCTGGGAGGTGCACGTGCCGCTGCTGGGCAGACTCGGTCTCGGTCAGATCTCCGGGGGGCCGCGGGCCTGCCCCAGGCGGCCATGGCAGTGCGCGGCCGGGCCCTGCAGGGCCCTGTGGGGGCCGCACGGGACCCTCCCCCAGCACACTGCAGGCTCTCAGGGCCCCTGGGGTCAGCTGGTGACTGACCCATTTGTTAAATATGCAGTTTTACTTTTTATAAGTATTCATGAAATTTTCCAGAACTGGCATTAGCCCAGAGTAAAATGTTTTTGGAAGTTTTAAACAAAATCCCTTCAGTTCCACTTGGAATTAGGGAAAGGTGGCAGACGCACTTGCATCATTTTCGAAACCAAACTCTCCCCACCCACACGGCTGGCTGGAGACCGAGACCCACCCATGGTGCGTGGCTGCGGTGGGTGCTTCCCACAGAGGGACCCGTACCCTGCTCTGAGCTTTGCTTTCTGTCACTTCTGAGTCCGGGGTGGTGGCCACAGTGGGCTTTTTCCCTGGAATCCCCGGGCCCTGGCAGGACATGGGCTAATGAGCTTGGGCAGGTCCCCAGCAGGGGCTCGCTGGGCCGTGGGCGGTGGGTCTCAGGGGCGTCCTGCAGCCCCCGCCTCACTGGCCGCTTCGCTCTGCTCTGCAGGCACCAGGGGCAACCTGACGGAGGCCGAGGGGCCGCTGGCCGCCAGCCTGGCTCTCACCGTGGGCACCGCCCTCCTCTCTGCCCACTTCCTGCTCTGGCAGACCCTGGTGCTGTGGGCGGACTCGGCCCTCAGCGCAGCGCTGCTGGCGCTCCACAGTCTGGAGGCCGTCCTGCAGGTGGTCGCCATCGCCGCCTTCGTCAGGTAGACTCAGGCGCCCGGGCAGCCCCGGCCGGATCTCCAGCCGTCAGCTGCCCCGTTGCCGAACGGGAGGGGCATTTTCCCTACCGGTAGACGGTTTTGGATGGTTCACCTATCGATTTTGGGTGAGGGCAGGACCCAGGGCAGCACAAGCTGCCGGGGGCCCAGGTGTCGGGAACAGCAGCAGGGAGGGGTCAGGGACCGCCCAGGGCAGTCTCGGAGGTGAACCCCAGTGCACCTGCCCGAGCCTGCCGCAGTCGGGGGTCTGTCTTCAGCAGCTGGGCCCTCACGGAGCCTGGGCTGAGAGGGAGCACAGAGCCCTTGGGAAAGGAGGCCTCCAGGGTCACGTCCTCCTCCCTCGCATTCGTGTCGAGCGAGGCCAGGCCCCTCCAGGACTTCCTGCTGGAGCTGCAGGCAGGTGGGCCTTCGGCCGAGAGCCCCTCAGCGCCAGCTGGCAGCCTCGGTGGAACCCAGCACTCTGGTTTCCAAAGGAAAATAAATGCCAACATGCAGGCACTCTGGTGTTTGGGATGTTTTCACCTCAGCAGGAGGCAGAGTGGGGGCACTGGGCTGGGGGCACACAGCTCCTGCATAAATTTCGGAGGCTCGGTCCGCTAAAACTTGAGCAGCATTTGTGCTTAACGCTAAAGGAATTCTGTCTCTGTGACTTTTTTCCCATTTCAAGATTGACTATAAATGCTCCTTAAACAGGATCTGAGCTGTTATTTCATAGCAGTTTTCCTTCATTTGTTTCTATTCGTTTTCTATGTTTGGAATAACACTGTGTTCAGTTGTCTAGGTATTTTCTCATTACCATATTGCTTAAATAAAGAAATCTTTGTACCTCACTGAATTTCCCTAATTCCAGCCACCTGCCTCCCCCAGGGTGCACCGTCGATACAAAAGAGCACACCCCACTCTTGCTGGCCACTCAAGCCCTGTCTCGGCCTTGCTACCCTCCGCCCCAAACACCCTGGACACCTGCCCCTCTGCAGGCCACCGAGGGCGGGAGGCTGCCGGGCCGTCCCAGGCCTCCACTGGGGCCACCTCAGTCAGGGGCGGCCACAGCAGCTGCACCCTTGACGGCCTTCCCTGCCCATCCTGCTGGGAGCAGTGGGAGTGCAGGATTTCTTCTGGGCTGACTTCTTTTGACCCGCCTGTAGCCCCCAGAGGCCACAGTGAACAACAGCAGGACGACCTCAAAGTCCTGCGTCCCTGCCACCTGTGCCCGTGCAGCAGAGCCCCACGTGACAGCGCCAATGCGGGAAGGGTCGGTGCTCCACTGCGCCTCAGGCCGCCTTCCTCGCCAGTGTCCCTGTGCCCTGGGCCCTCACTGCCTGGACTCTGGGAGAATGGGCAGGACTCAGCCCACTGGCCCTGCAGACCACGGCAGGGCCTCTGCCAGCTGGCGGGAGGCCTGTTGCCTTCACGGTTAAGGGGTCTGGGCTGCGTGTCCTTGACATCCCCAATTGCGCTGGCTGCATGGTGGCAGTAGTCACTTGTTCATAGAGGACAAGGGGCCACAGTAGACAGCGGCCACGCACCACCATGTGCCTGCTTGAGGACAGGCCCCGCGCTCAAGATCGACTGCAGGCGCCCAGCCCGGCTGTTCTCTCTGGTGCACGACTCCCACCTTTGGCCATCCCCAGCTCTGCCTCCAGGAAGGCCGAGGGCGCAGGTGTGTGCCCGGTGCAGAGCGGAGTGGAAGTGTTTGCCTCTGAGCCCTGGGTGGAGCAAAGTCATGCGTGCAGCAAGACGACAGCGGCTCTGTGAGATCAGCCCTGAAGGCCAACCCGGAAGCCAGGCCTTGCCCGGGCTCCAGCAGCCACTGAGTCTGGAGGTGAGGGCCACTTCCTGCCACCACTGAGCTCACCTGCCACGCCCGGAGTTCAGGCAGGGAAGGTGGCCCTGCAGGGTGGAGTGCCTTCCTCGCCGGAGCGGCTCCCCAGGAAGCGCCGTGTGCCAGCCCGGGGCAAACACGCCACGGCCTTGGCCTCCCAGGACCGCAGCCCTGGGACCCTGCCTTCTGGGCAGCACCCATTTCCTCTGTCCCCACCCCAGGAACAATAGCCGGAAACTTTGGGTCCCTGCGTGTGCTTGGGGTGCCCAGCCATTCCGTAGGCAAAGGTTGGGGCCTGGGCCTAACCAGGGGGTGCTGCAAGGAGAGAGCTGTCCCAAGAGGGCATGCAAGGACAGCCTAGGCCACGAGTGTCGCCACCCTCCCACCAGACACCCTCACCCCCCAGGGTGTGCCCAGGCTTAGCTGCACTCAGTGCAAAGGAAGAGGAGACTTTAGGAGCCCCCCTGGATTGTGTAGGAGGGAGTCCCCCTCCCGCCTGGGGAGCTCAGGGCCTGGGGTCTCTGGTGGCAGGTACTATGAGCTCCTGACACCCACTCACAGACCAAAGCCTCTGCCCCCTTCAGGGACCAGATGGGCCAGCTGAAAAGGAGGAGGCTGTGCCCTGTGCCTGGGGCACCTGAGGCTGTGGGACACCCGGCAGC